AGAAAACAAGATAAAGACAGACTGTCGGTGTTTAAACACCGCTGTCTACGCAGCATTGCATGAATTCGACGGGGTAGCCGGATGAGACCTCCATAGATTACGTTGTTTGGGACACGTGTTACGCATGTCACCAGGTAGGTTACCACGGAGAGCGATGTTCGCCGAAGCCGATACCGAGTGGAAAAAGACCAAGGGTGGTGAAGTTAAGACCTGGCACGAGGGTATGAAAACCCTGAGCAGGGGACTGGGTCACATAGGTCCTGTTAGGCTCCCTGGCTGGGGACCTCGGGATGATCGTAACCGACGGTTAGAGACACTGGGCGATATGGCTGGGTGTCNTCGTAAACAGTGGCGTTCGTGCATATCCTCAATTTCTTCGCAACCTTAGACCACTGCATTCCATTTTCTTTTCAGCTCCACTCTCAACTTTCCTTTCTTCTCCGATGCTTCATCCAGATGGGCAGCCAAAAGACAGCAACCAAAGCCGGCACACGAAAGTGCATGGTTAGTGGTTGTTCAAACTGAACTGAAACTGAAGACCACTGGAGCAGCTCATCAGGCTGTTTTTCATTCTGCTTGCATGATATAGCACAGCACCCACCTTTGTGAGCTTAATACCGGCAACATACCTCTTACATCTCAGCACTAATCTCCGTCCTAATGACTTGGTGGGAAACGTTCTGGACATGAATACTTACTTCATGAGAGTAGTGGCTTTCTAGATTTTCAACTCACACTTCAATGTTTCTGTACACGACGAAACTCACCATATAATCAAAACAAATCTTTCACCACTCTCATGAAACAGAAGATTGTGCATAATGGTTCTATTAATTTGGAAAGCTATAGGATCCTTCGTTGCATAACCAACAAATTGATGGTCACTGAATTCCCTTCTATTAAAATAAGTTGCAACATTGCAGGTGATTTGACAGTGCCTACTCAGACATAATGACAAATTAATAGCCACTAATGGATGAAACCTCACGAAAAAGTGCATAAAGTATAACTTAGGATAATGGTTTTTTGCATCCCGTGGGTGTATCTTATGTGCACCATATGGATCCTTTGGTATTGGGCAAGAGAAACTGATACCGCAACACATTCGTGCGGTATATTTAGAGGTACCTTCCACATCTTACAATGACGTAAACTTGGTGCGACAAGTGCTTCCGGCAATAAACAGAGTTAACAGAAAAGTTGTATTCATTGGTGGATGGATTCAATTCCTACAGTGACCTCTGCTGATTCAAATCAGTAACATTCATATTGTGATTGAACATCATTTTTCCTGGACTAGACTCAATTCATCTAGTTAACTTGGGAAGCACTAGACTGGGGTTTCGCTTTTGCCAGAGCTCATCGGCACTGCATATCCAGTGACCCGTTCCAAAGTTGAACACCGGACCCCTTACATGGAATACGTCATCACAGAGCTACTTATGCACAGCGGGAGTCACCAGAATTAATAATTCAATTTTTTGTGATTTCGTCCTCAACGGCAGTCGTTTTGTACGCAATTGTTGGAAAAATCAGTATTCAAGTAAATTATTTTACTAGTATAAATAATCACTGCAAAAAGTGGTTGGATACATCCTTAAACACGTATGTGCACAGGCGAATTGAAAAAGCTGAGGCTTCATCCGGGATTCTTTGATTACGAAAGATGTAGATGTCCAAGTAGCGAAATTCGCCTGCTTTATTTTTTCCCTGTTAGAGGGTGAAAGTGGGGGCCTGTATCAGACTAATCCTTTAAAAGGCGTTTTGCACTTTCAATATGTAAAAGGCATGCCCAGTGCAGCTACATTATCACTTAAACTACCCAGTAAAGGTAACAGCTTGCCCGAATCTTCACTCAACAGTAAAACGCAGCCTGTAAGCTCTCGATCGGACAGTCTGCTATTAGGAGTAAATCGGTGCCACCAACCTCACACTAACTAGTATAGGATTATTTCCGGAATCAAATCTATTACTAAGTTGAAGAGAACAGGAAGAGTAAAGACAGCTCTGGCAAGCACCGCTTTCTGTTGAAAAAGAGACGCTATCCAGACTCCAGTCATTCGAGTAAATGGATCGCAATATTGAAATAAACTTCTCTGGCACACTATCATAGGAGAGGCAGTGCCGAAGTACGGTGCGAATGACACTTTCAGATCAAGAAAGACAGAAATTTTGGGTCCACGGGAGGAATATCTGTGTTCCACATTCTGACAGAGTAAAAATAGGGTCAATACTCCTCGCGAACATCGTTCCCATGAGACACTTGGAGAGTAGCTTTGATACCATACTCATCAAATTAATTTCTCTGTGGTGCTTGTAAGAGGATCTATCGCCTTTGTTGCAAGTCTGTAAGATGATCGGTATACGCACAATCACAAGTTTCGTCAATTCCACGACTAAGGATGAGCTACCATGGCTAAGTGGGAACAACCGCTCTGGCCTTATATCTATTGAAGACTTATTTTCCGAGTAACTTCCATTTCGGGAGGACTGATATCAACTAGCAGACGTTGTACACCTGAGGTAGAAGTTGACAAACCTAATGTCAACGGAAGCCTTTAAATGTTCTGCTGATCGCTTAATTTGAATCGGTGTCACCGGACTCCGTCATTACCTCACGTCTAGTTGCCGTAGGCTCACATTCCTCATTAGACGGAAAAAGTTGTGAGTTTTATCGATAGCCGACATTTTTCCACACACCACTCCTCGAGGTTATTCCTCAGGCTCTTGATGGGCTGGCGTTTTAGTGAGTTGCGTGTAGTATCATATTCTGAAAACGGCCCTGTCCTGGTGCGAGGACACTGAAACTGATGTGCTACCCAATGGTTTAGTTCAATCTAGAGTTCGCAGACGACACTGTACAGGTGAGCGAAAATCAAGGCAAGCTTAAAGATTTACTGGGTAGTCTGAGAATTAGTGTAGCTGTGCACGGCATGTATTTTGCGTCTAAAATCCATTCACGATATTTGAGATGGTCCAGCTACCACCTGCACTCTGAAAAGAGAGGCACTGAAGAAAGTAGACAAGAAGAATCACGAATGGAACCTCGACATGTGTACAAAGAGCTTCATTGGTGCTTGCAAATGTAACACCTATAAAGCGACCGCGATATTTTGTTGTCTGTAAAGGGTTGTGTATATGCTTCCGCAGTTCAGCCGGTGGTGTGAGATCGTGCAAACTTGGCCCTTGCAAGAGAAGGATAAAGGTGAACGACCAGTGTTCAAACACTGCTGCTTATGTCTCATTGCTCGAGTTTGGTGGGACAGCCGGACAAGTAATGCTGAGACCAGGTAATCATGGTTGCGCATTGAAGCAAATTTCTGACCTCCATAGATTCTTTTGGCTGGGACACACACATAAGTGTCAACAGATGGGATTATTCGGCGCGCGACGTACTGAGAGACAGGTAATGGATGATCAGGCTTGAGGGTATAAAAATCCTGACCAGGACACTCCCTTATATAAATTGTGTTAGGCTTCCTAGTTGGGGACATTGTGACCAATCGAAGAAATGACAAGAGAATATATGGATGAAATGTGTGCTCGCAATCCGTTCACTTTCTAACCAGACTTGCTCATTCCTCATGCATCGACTAAATGAGTAATCGGAAAACGGCAACCAAAAGTCACACAACAAGACAAGGTTAGTGTTTGTGCAAGCTGAACTGAAATCAGCGGGACATTGGGATCCGTGAAGTTAGATATCAGACAATAAACAAGTCAACAGTGCTCGATCGTCACGGGTCGCATTGTTGTACATGTCTCTCAATTGAATTCC